TGTCCAATTGGAGAGGGTCGGTGGTGTACGCCATTAAAAACCGGGTACATAACTATGAARAAGYTGAATATAAAATTTCAGGAGAACGATTCAAGTATAGTCAGGAGCATCTCAACTTCAACACGAATGWCCTTTAGATATATAGGATAAGTGATAATAATCAATAAACACCCGTGGATCAAATAGAGAGAGCGGTTGGGCAGCGACGACTTCACTAGAACACCACGGCGTAAATCAAGTATTGATAGTCCGACGTGATTATTCACGTTACTTCTTAGAAATAATATCGCGATGTAGAAAGCTACGGGAAACTACTACATTAAAATCCCTAGTTAAAATCATGTAAGCAAATAATTAAGTTAAAAACTTTACTGTCGACTGTACTACGGATGTCGGAACCCCAGATTTGGCAGTGGAAGTAGAAGTAGCACTTCCTCGGTCGTCAACCAGCGAAATCCCTAGAATAACAGCAATATATGTAAGGATAAAGATGGAACCCTAATAAGGATATTAACAGAGCAATAAGCGGATTCAAACCGATATCAGTTAGAATATCAATAGTACAATTAGAAGCAATTTAAAATAAGATAAATATTTAAATATTATATATTTAAATATATAAATATTTAAATATATAAACGTTTCAACTGCTTAGAGTGACTAAGAGTTAATAGAAGATTTTTTCGAAGGCCTAAGTTAAAGCACTTAAATATACTAAAGATAGAGACACTGTTCTAAGCATGGGAGACTTAAATGCCAAAATTGGAGAAGGTTAAATTCCAAGTGTAGTCGGACAGTTTGTGTTAGGATTAAAAAATTACCGTGAAGAAAGACTGATCCAGTTTTGTATAGAAAAGAAACTGACAGTAATAAATACTTGTTTTAAACTCCCCAAAAGACGGTTATACAATTGGAAATCTCCTGCCGACACAAAATTGCATGTGGTACGGAATCAAATAGATTACATTTTAATCAACAACAGATTTAAAAATGCAATCCAAACGATCAACACATACCCAGGCACTAGGCAGGCTCGGATGCAAAGGGAGTCATTAGAGCGATRCCCCCTAAATGTCAAGAAAAGAAAAAAAATGTATTATATTAATGTGTTAAGTATTGGTAAAATTGTTTAGAAAAAAAACTGTTATTTTTTATTTTTGATGTATATAAAACTAATACTAAATAAATCCATTGTTTGCGGATCATTGAATTGTCCTGTTTAGAATTTGGTAATCTAAGATGGCGTCAAACAACGACATGACAAATAACGTTCAACTCATATCGTAATTGCCCGAATTTATATGCTTACCGTTAGATATATTTCGATTTAGTATTWTTCATTTTATTCTGTGCAATTATACATGAACTATTGAGTTTTATGCAAGTTATTATTTTTATTACATAAAAATATTTTGTAAAATTAACTACCCCGCTGACTGCGTTTTATTACAAACCGAACTTGATGCCTTCTTCGATTTGACGCGACAGCTTAACCTAACCCTCAACTTGGACAAATGTCACTCTATGACTTTCTGTAGGAAACGTAGCCCCATACTACACTCAAATTACCTTGGTAGCTCCCCCCTCCTATGCGTTCATCTTATCAAGGACCTAAGCTTCTATCTATCACTAACCCCTACTTCAAACACCACTTAAATGTTACTGTTGGGAAGAGCCTGAAGATCCTCGGATTCATCAAACGAAACACAACCCTCTTTACCTCCGCCACCTGTCTCCGTACCCTCTACTTCAGCCTTGTCCGTTCCATCCTCGTGTATGGATGGGTCGTTTTGTTTCCATATCTGGCCTGTGATCAATTACGCCTTGAACGAGTACAAAATCGGTTCCTATCTTTTATTGCCTTTTTATTAAATATTGAACACCGGCTCATGATTCTACCGTTATCCGCTCCTCTCTCAATATCCCAACTCTGGCATCACGCCGTAATCACGTGGACCTCAAGTTCATCACATCGCTACTCAACGGTACTATCGACTCTCCCTACTTAATAGCCACTGTTTCATTTCGCGTTCATCCTTCCTTACGAGACACCATTCTCTTTTCTCTATCCCTACCCATCTCACCTCGTATGGTCATAACCAGCCTCTCCACAGAATGTTACGCCTATTAAACCAATCTTAGTCCTACCACATTTTTCAGCTTACTATCTTCACTACCTGTTATCTTATATTTAATTGTATTAATTTTGTTATCTACTTAWATAATTTATATATATTAAAAACGATGCAAATGAGAAGTTTCCTCGGTATAACTACTCATTTAATACAAGATGGAAAATTAAAAACACGTAATATACTTTATTATTTATATAATTTTACATATTACTTTAAAAAAAAACTTATTTTATTTATAATTATAGAAAATATTGGTATTGTGGAATTGTTCGAAGGCCATACAGCAATTTATATTGGGCATACTTTGATTGAAACGTTACAAAGTTGGGGATTAGAAGCTGAAAAAGTCGTAGCTGTAGTTACATACAGTGGTGCGAATATGAAAAAAGCTATAGTTGATGAATTTGGTGCAAAAAAACATCTACCATGTGTTGCCCACACCATAAATCTTGTAGTTGAAAAGGCTATTGACAAAACACAAGAGATTAGCAAGACAGGTGTTAAAAGTGGTGGAGTACCAGTATTACTATTTAAAGTTTGTGAGATAGTAAAATATTTTAAAAAGAGCACTAAGGCCTGTGATTTGCTAAGAAATAGTCAAAGAGTTGAAGGTAAMTTTAGTACAGTTTGACTTTAAAAAAATATATATCTTATATAATAATATTTAGGTAATTATTTTCAGGTAAAAAAGATGGGCACTTTCTCAAACCTGTACTTGACGTCAAAACCAGATGGAATAGTTCATTTTATATGATAGAGAGATTTATTCTGCTAGCTAGTCATTTTTCACAAGTTCTCTTAACTGAAAGTGGTAAAATTAGAGATATACCTGACATGGTTACAAGTTCAGAACTTAGATGTATTGAAGATATCTGTTCTTTATTGAGACCTATTGAGCAATTAACAAGAGAGTTGTCCACAGAAAAGTTTGTTATGTCAAGTAAGGTAATGCCTATAATATTCTGTACAAGAAATGAAATTGTTAAACAAGACCCTACTTTTTCCATTGCTAAAAATTTTAAATTTAAAATAATCGAAGAGTTGGACTACAGATTTGAATCGTTAGATCAATCAACTATACATTCAATAATATGCACTATTTTAAATCCTAGATTTAAAGATATGCATTTCAAAATCCTTTGGCTAATTCAAAAGCTCAAGATAAATTAGTACAAATGATGGATAAAGACACCAATTTTGATGATCAAATAATATGTTCGACCGAAACAGATGTAGCAGTCAGAGAAAGTAAAAATTATGACTTGTGGGGCTTGCATAGAACACTTGAACAAGAACATAAAAACAAAAGGAATCATATGACAACATCGAGAGAAGAACTTAAGAGTTACTTACATCAAAGTGTTATTGGATTGAATAAAAATCCTTTAGATGAGTGGGAAAGTACTAAAACTGTTTATCCCAAATTGTATAAACTTGCACAGAAATATTTAATAATACCTGGAACATCAGTACGCTCAGAGAGACTATTTAGTAAAGCTGGAGCGACAATTAGTCAGACAAGAAACAGACTAACTGGAAGTAAACTAAACAAATAACTTTTTTTAGTCATTAGATTTAAAACATTTTTGTTAAACCTGTTACTTTAAACTTTTTGAAACAATGAATTATATTATGATGAATTTAATATTATTGTTAATTTTTATTTATTTCAAACAAATGTCAAATGTAGTTGACAACATTTAAATATGTATAATTTAAGTGTAATTCATCACCTATTAGTCTATATAGTATAGTGCAGATATAGCACGGCTGAAATATATATGGTACTTTATACAGCCATAGATTATTTCAATGCTGAGCTTTCCCAAGCTATCCCAGCGGCCAGCATGGTTATCTAGTAATATTACATTTGTGGAAAAAAATATATATCGATATATCATTGTTATTGGGGGAATATTACCGATAATCGATTTTGACATCAGTTTGCGCATCCCTAACCATGACTGATAGGCGATTGAACAACTTAATTGTACTGAATACTTCTAAAGATATACTCGACAATATAAACATGAGTGCAATGATACAAAATTGGGCAACTTTAAAAGAACGCCGTATAAATGTATAATTGTTGGAAGTATTTTAAATAAAATATATATATTTTTTTTTATGAGTTAATAATTTTTTGATTATTTTATTTATATTCTATTTTATTATTCATGACTATTTAATTGTTGTGAATGTTTTTTTATTTTATTAGCTTAGGTATACATTTTTAATTTATGATAAGTTGGTCAATTAATAAGTAGTTACAATTTACACTTGTAACATGGCAGTATATACAGGTTTTTTTTTTACAAAATATTAATTATTCAATTTGTTTATAACACATAATAAATAAATGTGAAATACAATATTTTTACTTCAGGTAATCTGGTTAAATCTGAATAATCTGATGTACTACCATTTGCCGTCTGCTTATTATTTACTAAATTTTTTGAGTTATTGACRAACACTGATTGATTTAGATTCGTACACAACTTATTTTTTAGATCATCAAAAAATTACGACAGCCTTGTATCTTTACATCTGTATGAAATACAACTATACAAGTAACAAATATTTTAACAATGCATAAAATGATTAAAATGGTTTAAAATGTTTTAGTTTTTTATTTTTAAAAATAATTTTTAATATTTATCGAATTTGAATTATTTGATCAAACTATTTTACTTTACCTTAACACAGAAAAACCAGGAATTTTTATACTTCACGTAGTTTGTTTTAGGAATGATGAGTCGGCACTAGGCATAAATTAAATTTCAGTCGGCAAATACTTGATCTCACCCCCCGACCAAATTGTATAACGCCGGCCCTATAAGTAGATTTATTCAACAACTTACAGCCATGTAGAGTAGCGATGGTCGAAACCGAATGAATCAAATCAAATATCAAACTGAACGAATTACGAATCTGTCAAGTATCGAGTGACCGGATCGCGACCAAATGATGTACATGTACTAAAAATATTCGGTATTTCGGTCAAATCAAATATCGATCTTTAGGTCTTTTGGCGGTTTTAATGATACTTTTCTTTCGATTCTGATACGAGGATGCCGTGATGGGTAGTGTACTAGTGTCGAAGTATTCGAATTATTGGAATGAAATGAAGTGAATGAACAACTTCAACAACTCGCCCGTCGCCGTGCCGCTGAAAACCATTTATCTCAATTATGATAACATGTTATAGTCGTTATAGAAATACAGACTCGGTTGACACGGAGTACGGACCACGATAAACAGGACTGGAAACTACAGAACAATTTATACTGGCATACTGCCATACTGGAAACTGGAAACCTATGCTGGAAACGAGATAGTTAATAGTTATCTATTGTACTAGACAGTGTTCTATGCTATTGTTCAAGCACGTCGTGGAGATCAGCTCATGGCTTAAGATCAGCTGCAGTAAGTTGTCCGAAAAGTGATAAGGAGCCGACGACTGATAACGGTTCAAAAACCAAAAGCGTTGCCAACCGTTATATACAAAAGTCTTATACGTTTTATTTGTTACATACACAAAAATATTTTTATAATAATATACATATATTATAATACTGCTGGACGTACGTACTATGTATACATAAACATCATTAAAAGTAATTTGGTAATTATAATTTAGTATAGCCGTGGATCATTGGGCATTGGGTAAATAAATACACACAAATAATTGTTTTGTGAAAAAAAAAAGAAAATGACCTAACTTTTAGCTTTAAGCTTTACTTATATTTTTCTTTACATATCAGCTTAGAGTTAAAAAAATATTTTACTTTCCAGCYTTGCTTATAAACAGTTACAAGTGGTTACAACATTCATATTCATTATAGTATAATATTAAATATTAATAACCACACCTTAAGTACTCAAGCCTATATTAGAAATGTACAAATTTATTTAAAGAAATATATTTATTGGACATTATATCTGTGTTTACAGTGTTTAGTAGTAAACTAGTAACAATTCAGATAAATCCGTGACCAATGGCCATAGCAGGGCTTATTCTAAGGATTTTTATCAACTATGCATTTTTTTTTAAATAAGCCCATAAAAATAGAACTATAATAAACTCGAATTATTATAATATCAAATTATTTAAAAATGATAACATTTTAACCTTTAAGGTGGAATAATTTAAAATTTAACCTATTACAAGAAATAAAATAAACATTTACGTTTAAAATATTATGTTTTAATTAATGTCCTTTTACTTTTTTCATAATATTTATATACATAACACATAACACAATATAAAATATACATTTATATGTTTAAAATATTTTGTTTTAATTAATGTAATTTTACTTTTTTCATAATATTTATATACATAACACACAACACAATATTAGAACATTCTTTTTTAAATTTTTTGTTCAGTTTGCTCTTCAGATTTTGTTTTTGTTGCTTCCATAATTATCCCATTAAATCATTCCTGTTCTTTAGCTTTCGGTGTGTCTTTAATGCGGCGTTCATTTCGGTTTAACCATATTTGTATTGCTGGTCTTGGATACCAATTTTGAAGAGTGGGCATATTAAAATGAATAAAAAGATATTAATTTTCCGTTGCGACATGCATACTTTGTCGATTTATGGATTTCAGTAGGTATATTACTTTTACTAATTAGTCGCTCAATGTGACAACGACAGCGCTGAGCGGTTTTACTGCTACAACACGAGCAAGTAAATTACAAATATTCTTAAATTTGTGGGACCCAGATAAATATTGCACTAGTTTAGGCAATGGCATTTGTCTTACCTCTTATAGTTTATCATGCTCCATTAGATCTGTATACTCCATATTTAGATCAGCTAAATCTAAATCCTTACCCAAAACGTCAAATACATTTTTGATGTTAGCATTGCAAATTGCAATCAAGGTTAACAATAGGATTAATAGTACTAACAAAATATTCGTCAATATTYATGCGGTCTTGCAAAAAATTAGCAAAAGTTTCCAAACCAAACCTATAGAAACTATACAAAACTACGATTTTCTTATATTATGTATTATCTTATAGATATATAACAATAAATCATGCTAAATCAATTACGCAAAAATTGAATATCAAGTACGAGTATAGGATATAGCTTTTCCAAATACGCAAAATAAGCCCAACTGCCCAACTGCGCTTTAGAATAATCCCTGGACCATAGTCCATAACATACCTAATACTGCTATATTATTTTTTTTTTTTATAGTATATTTTCATTTATTACCACCAATAGAAACAATAATTATTTTCCCATATTATTTTTATGTTTTGATGTTGGCAATAGATATGACGCATCCGATATCTGGTCAGAGCCGTTATCAATTTTTGGACAACTGTCTACCGTCTACGAGAGGCTGTAAATTCATAAGCACAATGCAATAATTTCCGATTTTATGGTAATTTCGTCTGACTTTAATATTGAATTCCAGTCAGTCACCGAACCATAACATTTTCAAAGTAAGTACGCACTCTGACCGTAATCGCCATCGTTTTATATTCGACATCGAGATTGACTACTATCAACCTCAAAAATTTGGATTTATACGTGCGAGTGAAACGCACGTGTCGATAACCAAGAAATATTGCCAATTTAACTGCTTGTTCCGAATTGATAATCCATCGTTACACGAGATGTTCAAATTTCGTTGTCCTGRGCTTCCGTCTCGCACCGACACGTGTTKTATAGGACGGGCGTGACGTGCCGGTGGTGGTTATGTGTTCGATATCAACGACCAATTGTTAATGTGTAGGGCTCTGTTTACTACGCTATTGCTGCTGATGTAAGATTTTTTCTCTAGACATTTGGCACGGATTTCGTCTGTCTTTACTAATGTAGTTTGTTTACCTTTTGGCTTTAGTAAAACGTTGAGATCTTATATAAGATCTTTGTACGTTTTTTAACCACCTGCACTTGTATACGGACAGAAAGCCGCATTGTCAAACGAAATCTTTGTTAAGGATTGGAATTAATATACTCAATATATGTGTAAATGCTTGATATCGATGTGTATTTTGAATTGTTTCAACAGTCRCARATTAGTTCTGYAGTAAACCAGATAAATAATATATYATTTGTGATACATTTTAGAATGGACGACCAAAGTATCACATTAGATGTTAACCCTAAAGCATACCCTTTAGCTGACCAACAGATGACCACTAAAATTTTGAACTTGGTGCAACAAGCAATGAACTATAAACAATTACGTAAAGGAGCAAATGAAGGTWAATATTCTGATTGACGTCATCATTTAATAATATTTTAAATATCATTGTTATGATTTTCAGCCACCAAAACATTAAACAGAGGTATTTCTGAATTCATAGTCTGTGCAGCAGATGCAGAACCTTTAGAAATTTTGCTACATTTACCATTATTATGCGAAGACAAAAATGTTCCATATGTTTTTATTAGATCAAAACAAGGTTTGTATTGAGAATTGATCACGTATTTATCACATTCACTAATACATTTACTATTCACAGCATTAGGCCGTGCATGCGGTGTTTCAAGACCAGTCATAGCGTGTTCTATTACCACTGATGAAGGTTCTCAATTACGACCACAAATACAACAAGTTCAGACTGAAATTGAAAGACTATTGATTTAATTTTGTACACATTTTTACATTTATAACACTGATTTGGAAATAATAATAATACTACATCATTGTCATCATTCAAATGTTTAAAATATATTATTATTTTTTAATCATTACTTTTATCAATATGATATATAATTAAATACATTTCCTTCTAGTATATTTTAACAAGTTACCTTATATGAAGTGATATATATATATATAGTAAAAATGAAATTATGATAACTAACAGTATAGGGTGTTAAAAAATTAATATTCGATTYCTCTTGATCAGATTATATTATACCATATACCTGTTAAAATGCATTTTTTCCAAATCACTGATTGGTTAACATTAATTAATATCGTAATAAACATTAAATAATTATTATTATCATTAGTCTACTCATAGAAGAAGAGTTGGTGTTAAATTCTAATATTATAAATTTTTCACGTGATGGTATAATGGACCAAGTCCTATTACAAATGGTTATTTGTTAATGATTTATCTGATTTATTAGTACTTTTTAATATCAGGCAAATAGTATTAAGAATAATGTAGTTTTTTGTTGCAGTTGCAAAGATATACTTTAACACCTGCAGGCTGCTGAAGCTAAGCTCTGATCTTATTAAAATTTTATGCAGCTTGAATTATTTTTGAATGTGATTACATTACTTCTTAATGTTCTTTTATTAAAATAATTATAATTTAGATAGATTAAACATAATTACCCACATAATTATTTAGTGATGTGCTATGAGCCCAATTTAATTTACAAAAGTATAATCAGACCTAAAGAAGTWTTACAAATACCCAACTCAACGGTTAATTATTTTGTTACAAGATTAGAAAATCAATATAAAATAACATAATTCGGTAATGAGATACTGCAATAACAATAAATTAAATAGTGCATGTACAAAATTAACAATAACATCATCATCTAAAAATAAGTGCTGATGCGCATTGTCAAGACACATTATCCTGACAACTGGCTGGTGTTACAAAAATAGTGTTAACAGCAATCCCATTCTGAGAAAGGAAGAAATTTTAGAATTAACTTGGGAGAAAGAAAAGTAGCATTGATATGCTCATTAATTAATTGATGAGCTAGTTTCAACTGTCCTTTCTGCTAGAAAGTCTAAATTGGGCTTATGCTTAACTGGTTCAAGTGGGCGATCAATATTCAGGATGAATAATGATGAGTTTATAAATCACCTTTGGACACATTCTATTAGTAATAAGTCCTCAGCAATATAGGTGTTCCAGTGTACTGAATCATATTCTAGAAAGAATCTAATCAGAGATTATTAAATAGCCTTGTGTGAAGCGGACAACCTAAATTCCTTAGATAAGCTAAATACAAATTGCGGTCCAAACTACTAGACAACTACAATTTAATGATTACAGATATGATAATTAATCATTATTTATATATTATAACTTTTATTTTATAATCTAGTGACTTATTTTTACTTAAATAGGTATACAAAAATAAAAATTCTATAGTTAAACCATGCATCAGTTGTCTGTTAAAAAGTTAGTTATGATGACCAATCGAGCTGTTAATCCCGCAAAGTATAAATACAAAATATTTAACTAAAATTTAAAATTAAAAAAAATAATTTATTTAATTATTGAATATTATATTTATCATTTTATTGTCTGAAAGTATTTATTTAAATTAAAATAAAATAATATATTAATGTACTATTAGCCATAATATTTGGACACATTATAATAAAGCTAAATCTTTTAGTAAAGATCATTATATAAAACATGTCATCATCAGATCAAATAATGTAGAAATAAAGAAATATTTTAATTTATTATTTAACAGTAAAGAGTGACAAATGAATAATTAGTACTAATTATTAGTACTTAAATGATTATGTAACAGTTGAAAAAGTAATTAATTTTTAAATTTTATAACCATAGGGGTGTTTACACACATGTCCATACCTATGAAATCAGCTTTTAACTGAGTTCTGAATTAACTATTTTAATTTATACATCAGACATCAAATAGTTAATTATTTATCACATAGCGTCAACAAGTCAATTTTTTTCAGAGCACTATCATTGACGTTTTAAGTCAATATAAAGAAATTTKTGCTGGCCAGATTTATGAATAATTTCTAGATGGCTATATTTATGACATGTCCTTAATTTTGACCCTCGACCCATCTCCGAGTACATTCATTAATGTTGGAAATTATTTAAAAATAATAAAACAGCATTTCTTGTTTAATTAATGTGTATATATATAATATATTACATTGAAAATAATCAAAACATTTTTTTTTACAAATATTTTCTATTTTGCTTTTGAGTCTAAATAATTCAGAAGTTTTTCTTCACGGACTTTTTTCTTTTCTTCTCTGATTTTCTTCTTCTCTTCTTTTTCTCTCTTGGCAAGCATTTCTTTAAATCTATCATCTTTTGGATCTATCTTATAACCAAAATGTTTTTTCACTTCTTCAATAAGTTTTTCTTTCTTATCTTTAGCTTGTTGTGCCTCAAGTAATTTTTTTTCTGACTTTTCTTTGACTTCTCTTAACCAACCATTTAATTTCTTCATATTGTTATCAATTCTTTGCTGATTCTCTTGAATTTCTTGACGTTCCTTTTCTATAAGGTCCAATGCATTTTTTTGCATCTCTTGAATAGTCAACGGATAGGCTATACTTTCATATTCTCTTATATCATCCAAGTCTTCGGCAGTTGGCCATGCCAAGCCAGGCGAAACATTACTAGCATCCCCATACCGCCCATACATTTTTCTTTTGTATTTCACTGTATTGTGGTATCTATGTACGGGCTCGTCATAAGGTACTCGACCATTAATCAAATTGCGATGACCATGGTTCAATCGAGACTTGTCACAAATTGCTCTAATTTCCTGTTCGGATAAAGCTTTCTCCGCGGTGGTGGTGACAACATCAATGTCTTGCACTTCATTTTTAATCGAAGCATTTCGTGCTAAAAAACACTGAACAATCGGTACTTTAACAATTTTACCAGCATAACTAAATCCTTTAAACGAAATGATTGACATTATAAATAATAAACTACAATTTTCAGTAAACCTACGGACTACCTTAGATTTATAATATGTCGTAAACTTTAATTTTAATCTTGAATCGATCGTGAAACAATAATATTTTATTAAATTTTCACGTCCTGCAACATTAATCACTAATCAGAATTCTGTAGTATCACTAATAATGATAGTATAATCTTTAGTCATTATCAAAGAACAAACTACATTCTTTATTATCAATGTCAAGGTGGATTTATAAATCCAATAGACCTATAAATTTTATAGGTCTATGATAAATCCACCTTGATTCATGTWAATAAGTGTCATAATTCATAAGTTCGTGATAACTGATAAGTGCTATACAGAAACAATATAATAAGAAAACCAACATTTAAAAATAATACAATAAATATAAAAACTATTTCAATATTTAATACTATTGAAAATAGTATAAAAGTATAAAATTCAAATTTTAAAAATGTTATATAATTATAAATTTAAAAAATAAATATGTTAAATCCACGAATTAAGATATACTTTAATTAAGTATATCTTAATTCGTGGTTAAATCACAATGGAGGCCAGAACTCTGAAATATCTTTTAAAATAGCTTGAAATGCATCTTGTTTCCCGAGACGTGTTCTCCACATAAATTCAGCCAAATAGGACTCCAAAAAATTCCTATTAGTTCCACGCGCTTTTTATTTCCCCACTTTGCAGAACCCCATAACCTCTCCATATTTTGGGTGTGTGCCCCTGTGTACGGATCAATAAAATTATAGGTGTGGACGTGTGGTTAACGGTATTATGTATGAATCCCGCTTGCTGCAAATTATTATGGGCTTTCCAACAATCTGACATAATAATTTTTTTATTTAACACTGGCGGGGCGATAACAAACAAGTATAGGTACCTACCTATTATTGTATTGTTCACAAAATATAATATTACATATTTATATAGGTATACATATTATTTGGTAATTGGTATACACAATCCATATAGCATTTCCTGACGTGTATGTCATTTAAATTTATTGTTGAGTAAATTAAAAATTGTTTTACATTTGGAAAATAAATAACAATTAGTAATAAACATAGGTCCTAAAATGTTTAATTATATAAGATGATAGGTATGTGTTGCTATATTATGTTACTGTCCTGTTTAATTGACTATTAGACCAAATTAAAGCGAAGATAAATAATTGCTAGCTTAAACGAAACTTGTATATAATCATTTCTGCAGTAAGGTAAAATTATATCAAAATAAAACTAGGAATTGTAAATAAAATATCAAAATAATATTTAAAAAAATAAATATTTATTTTAGGTAACGTGTCACAATCCCAAATAAAAAGACTAGATCTTAGATCATGTATATGATAAATCTTATATATGATCTAAGGGCTAGATATTGACTCAAAAATAGTTGCATGAAAGTTAATGACAATGAAAATTACTAAAAAAAATTATACAGAAACCCCCAAAAAATTGTCACGTTAACAGATATTTATAATATTAGAATTATAGGTCACATTAATAAGTCACTAGCATCAGACGCCTTAAAAGTTCTTCAGTAAAAACTTTTGAGAAGAAGCTGATGTTACTAAAAACATTTAAAAAAATGAAATTTGTTGCCGAGAGAAAATAAACACAATGAATATTATCCTTGTTTGTCGATGTTGATTCCTACTATACGTACCTATACTTTATACTATTTGTTTTTTTTTATTAATTATTAATTAACTCACGACAACATATAGGCCATTGCATGGGTGGTTAACTATATSTGGGTTGGTATGGTAGATTGGCTGATTGGCACCATAAGTATATGAGGCAAGGTTTTTGCAACTAAGAACCCGGGTTCTTCACCCATTCGGGAAGCGACGGGAACACGTTAAGCCACTAACCGCGTCACGACAAATCATCATACTTCATTATTAAGTTACTAAAAAACGGTAAGAACTAATTGTAAACAACTTATTATTATGTTCTATTCAAATCGTTGTACCTCGCGGAAATAAATGAATCAGGAATGACGAGAGTTTACATTTGGTGGATAATAATAATTAATAACTAATAAAGCAATTGGTAATTTTTTTCTTACCTACCTACGTAATTCGATTAGAAGTAGAAATAAACAGAAATGTAGTTATTTTAATTGATAATTTTATTTAATACAATATTTAATTAAATAAAGATTGTTGTATTAATAATAAGTAATATAATAATCTATAATATATCCTAGACAGATAAACCGTCTCCGCTCAGAATTGTTTTTCGTATACAATGATATATGTAATATCTTTGATTTCAAATTTAATTCCATCCGTTACAATAACCCACTTGTAACCTACTGTACAGCAGAGCGATATCCACTTTCCCGCTTTTTAAATATTTTAAGTATTAATGTATTATGTCACTTAGTTAAATCCCGAATGTATATTATAGGATAACTCTTATATATATATATATAATTAACAATCGTAAATTGTATAATTTAATTTAATTAAGATCCGTCACCCGACAATTTGAGACACCACAATAACAAATCTAATATGATAAAATATATAAAACTGGAAAAAATTATTTAAGAGGACGCTACATCCGCATGACGATTGATTCTATTTTATAAGTGCGTATAAAATAGCAGTGAATTTACGCTCAGCAGATCACGTGTTTCGTTAGTTTAAAAATTAAGTGAATCGACCTCTTATATTAAACTTGATGGTAAGGACATTGTCTGTGATTGTATATTGGTTTTTTTGCGATAATTYATGCAGTTTTTAAGTTTGTTATAAACATTTTTAATTTATACTATATTATGCACGCAAAACTTACTAGAAAATTGAATATCGTAAAAAGACCTCATACAAACACAGATAATTATCTTACATTTATGTTCATAACAGGTTTGTTCACTCTAATTTTTAAACTAACGAAGCTACACGTGATCTGCTGAGCGTAAATTAGGTATGTGATGAGCTATTATAGCACTATTGTAAGTCGGAGATAAAAAATGTCAGTGTTACGTCCAGAGATGTAATTTGGGGAATGGCAGGGTGTGCAACGGCACCACTAACTTACAAAATGTTAACAATTGGCCCGCCATCAAAACTCCAATGCGCCTTTATAATAATTGATATGATTTATATAATAATAAAATTACTACCAATATCCACTGATGAAATGAAAGATTTTTTTCATCATTCCTCAAAAGAGTAAAAACATATTTACTAACCACCATGACCCATGGGCGACGAAAGATTAGGTAAATGATTTAATGATTATTGCAATTGCAGAGAAGGAAGAAGCAATAAGTATAATATTGATTTACAAGAGGCTGTAAATGTTTTTGCACACATTAAAATCTGTTGACATCAACTTATTTAAATTTTAAAATAATTAATATTTTGATATTTGTACGAATGATGTTTAATTTTGAAATTAATGAGTATTTCGTTATTCATTATACCTTATTTGCCTTTTTTTTTATCAAATAATAGTAAAATGGCTTTAGCTCGTTGATATAATTGCTTATAATTTATAAACTATTAATTCTTTGGATTGCTAGCAATTTAAAAGTTGCATTAGTCGTTATAAATAATTTCAATTCGWATTATAAAAAGAAAGAAAATAATATTTACATAGGTTTACATACATTACCTATATATATATATTAATGGTCTGGTGATGATATTATCAAAATTGCAGGCCTGCCTAAAAATTTGCACACATGGAAAAAAACTAAAAACCCTATATAGTTATGTCCTCCGAATGGAAGGAATTTTTAGAATATATTTTATATGGATATGTACCCGAAACATTGTAGACTAAGGCTCTCGACCCCATCCATAAAAGTTACCTCTACGCCTATGAGTACCACTTGTATATTACTACCATCATGATTATTAAATTGAAGCTAAAGATTAAAGTGTTTAAACTTCTCCTAAAAGCGGATGATAAAAAAAAAACACATTTTAAACACAATAAATTCATTGCATTACTTGGAATTTTAAAATTAATATATACGGTATAAATGAATGTATATATAAGCACCAGGTACTTAGTAACTACATCTTAAAAACAGCTCTATGACAAAAATAAAAAAGTCAATTATTTAAAATGTTAAGGTTCATCTACCTATTATGAACTAAGATATATTTTTATCCACGTTCTAAGATACTTTTTAACAAAATTTAACAATTTTATTACGATACTAACTTGTCCTATACTTAATATTTAATCTGTTTAAATTAGGTATGTGCCTAAAAACTTCACTCGCACCATCAACATACTTACCTATATGGCTATATATATATATATAATTTCTAATAAGAATAACTAAGATATAGGTAGGTATTAGGTACCTATAACTTTAACATTAAATACGAACCAATAGTTTATAGCAGACGAGGCGTCATTTGAAATAATCATGTAAAGTGATGGGGTATAGCAACAATTCCACAATGGTAACCCAGAGAGGAAGAGCTGCAAATGAGCAAAGCCCTCCCCCCTCAGGGGCGGGTTTTATCACTCACCAGGGGGGGGGGGCTAATAGAGGTTCAAAAATTTAGTTAGTTGTTTTTTAAGTCTATATAAAATTTAAAATTACAGGTTATATTTTTGAGTCCCCCGACCCTCATAAGTAAGTCATTGTTTTTTCACAAAAGTGACAAATTTTAAATAGTTACATTATTTGTATAAACAAAATTATTGGTATAGATTGGAAAAAAGTCTAAAAATAGCTTGAAGCCTAAATATTCTATTATCCATAATTAATAATCATATTTATCAATGACGATTGACGATATTTTATAATAATTATTAATACATATTATATCAATATATCATAATACTTGGCTTTGTAAAATAGTTAGCATAGTCCCAAATGGGGGGGGGGTGCTATTGCCCCTTATCCAACCCCTTAAACCCGCCCCTGACCCCCCTTGACCATGTGAGATGATATTTACGATATTAACCATTTTTCATGTTAACCTAATTTTTTTATAATCTTATATGAAAATATGTTTAACAAGTCAAGCTAACCTAACCAAGTGTATATATAGCGCTAAAATTGAAATCATATTGATCGTTATCGACGATAAACTGTTGGCTGGGAAAAATAAGCATTTAG